ATTTGGGAATTTATTTATTATTTAAGTTGATCCTTACCCAATTGGACTAAAATTTATTTAATTTATTTTCTTTTTTTGCAAATTTATAAACTTTTTGCAAACATCAAAACATTCCATGCCATTACACAAATCCAACGCATCCTTTATGAGTGCTGCAAAGGATTGCGATATTGCAATGGCTAGAGCGAGGGGTAATACGGGGGCAGGATGTTTGCGGTAGTGGTAACCGAGTATTTGGATGATTGTCGAGCATGTGAAACTTCTTGAAGATAATAATAATTTAGTGCTGTTGAAATGACTTTTGACCATCACACACAATTGATACGACCGACCAACAGTAGCAGTAGGCAGGCGGGCTGAAGGCTCCCAGCTCCCAGGGCTAGGCTCGGGCACAGTTCCACACACGTGTCCTTGCACGTCACCCACTCCTGTGGAATGCAACTCTGCGACTGCATGCAAACAAAGTCGAATGGAGTCGACTAGTTTGCACAATCAAAAATTGTGCCCCAGGACGAAGGATGGGCAGCTCGACGGAGGAGGCGTGCTGGAAAGAAAGTATGCCAGACCATTTGTTCGTCCGCATCTCAAAGAAATAAACAAAAGGGGCGCGCCGCCAAAATGCCGGAAAATCCACACATCCTTCGACGCAGCCACTTTGCATGCAATGCGAACAACTTGCACAACGATATTGGTTTTGTTGTTGTGGAAATGCCTTGGCGGGTTTTGTGAAAACTGAAAATGAATTCGTAAAAATTCACTTGTAATAATTTCTCGATTTTTGGTGGAAATTATTTGATTTCACACACGTGTGGAACGCCCGCCTCCGCACGGCTGATGCAGCTGCCAGCCAAAGGACTCGATCTTCTGCAGCTCTGCCGCAGGCTGCCTGCTGGCCATAAAATAAACTTCATCTTCAGTTCGTGCCGCTCAGCATTTGGGTGTGCGTACACAGAGCACAGGGAAATGCGCATTCATTCGCAAAATTCCCAAAACAAATAAAGTAGTTTTTTAAGGTGGTAAACGCTACGCTTTGGGGTCGGGCTACAGCACAGACAGGAGCTCGATTATTTGCGGTGGCACAATGGCTAAGTGAGGTTACATAGATCCTTTGAAAAGAACTTGCAGAAAGTGATAGAGCTTTAAGACAATGAGTTTGATTACACTGAGTAATGGGGAACTCAGAATAAAATATTAATTGAAAATATCGATATTTTAATAATAACATGGGCGATGTTCAATTAAGGTTTAATTACTTAAGTAATTACAATTGAAATTATCAATAATTACTTAAATATTTATTCAAGTAATTCTGCAAAAATTGGCAAAAATAATTCCGCCTCAATACTTAAATTGCTTATAAAATCAGTTTTAAAATCAGTAATTCAACATATTACACTTAAATACTTTAGTAATTGTGCTACAAGCATTAATAACTTGATTAAAATTGTCTGAAATGTATATTTACTTAAGTAAACATGCCAGAAAAGCTTAAATGCCTAGATAACTATATATTATAACTAGTCGGAAGCTATAAACATATGAATATTACATATAATTCTGTCAAAGAACTGAAATAATTTTGATTTACTTCAGAAGAGATGGCAGAAAAGTGTAATTACTTGAGTAATGATGCCTAAAAGAATAGCATTACTTAGGTAATTGTAACTGAAAGCATATGCACGCTACTAACCTTATCTGATATATGCAATAGTATTTCAGGTTTTCGTCCAGCTTATAGCCATTGGGGCAAATGCCAGCCAAGGCAGCGGACAGTGCGGCTGGTCAAAGCCAGCGAGCATCCGCATGGCTAGTGGCAGGCATGTAATTTGCATTTTGCAAAGTCCAAAATGAACTAATAAACACACACACACACACACCGGAACCCGAGTCCACAAATTGTCGATGTTTGCAGCGCAAATCGTATTACCAGGCGGGGTCGGTACCCGCGATCCCAGCGAAAAGAAAGAGGTCTACGCAGCGCAGTTTCAGTGTCCGCTGGCACACGGCTAATAGGCAGGCAGGCAGTCGCGAATACTTGGCTCAAATTGAAAGTTATTTAATGCAGGAGGAGAAGGTCGAGCTCCGGCTGAGGGTGATGGTGAGTTTGAGGGTGAGGCTGGGGTTGGCGCGGCCTATGAGGTTACGGAAATTGTTACGCGATGCTTGGCCAGGCCAAGAAAGTGGCAACCTCAACAACAACTGGGAGTTGTTTTCTGTATTGTTTTTTTTTTACAAATAAGATTCAAAAAGTTTATGCCGTTGGCTGTCAGGACTTGGCAAATGGGCAGTCGAAGCTGAGCGGGGGAGAGCCGGCCGAGCTGCGTGTGACTCGCATTCGCCGGAGGATTCCGTGCGGGGACACTGAATATTTAACAAGCGGCTGCGGAAGAGGAAACCAAATGGCGCAAGTGTTGCTCAGTTTAATCTATTTCCTGCACGGTATGCCTCGAGACCAGGGAGATAGTCTGATAGTCTGCCTGCCTCCTGGCTAGCTCGCCGGCCGATCCGCACAATCTTTAAATACACAAATTTATCGTTTCATAAAAAGGCAAACTTCACTTAATTCCGTGAGACAACAAAATTTCTCGGCTCGCCGCAAGTAAATTCATTTTCCCGTAAATATTGTCTACGGCGAAACTTAATTTACCAACAAAGTGCGCATAAAAATGTGCGGTTAAAAAATCATACATATAAACGAAAATTATAACATTTCTGGAAACAACGTTTTGTCGAATTCAACGATTTTATGCAAGTGCGGCCGAAATGTGAAAAGTTTTATAATTCACAAGTGGCTTAGGCACAAGGTGAAAAGGTTGTTTAAGATCACGGAGATACTTATTCCATATTTGACTAAACTCTCTGTGGAAATACAAAATATATATATCTAAAACTGTTTGTCCCGACTGAAGAAATGACTGTTTGACATATGCACAGACCATACCACGAATTTCACCAGCAAACGTGGAAAATCGATGGAAATCCGTTGCATACAACTATTTTGGTTATCAGCCCATCAGCATTTACCTCCAATGAAATTCGCTAAATCCACCCGTGGATGAAAAATGAGGTCCAAGATGGTGGGTTTCGGACGAACCGCATCTGTAATAGGGGAAAAAATGGACTTCAATCTTATTTCGAAAGGCATATTAAAAAATCTTCCAGGGGTGGAAAACGGTTGGAAAAGTGATTAAAATTTAAAAATAAAAAGGCTAGGCATATAATAAAAGGCTCTCTCTCTCTCTCTCTCTCTCTTTATCTCTCTCTTCATATATAAAAGCTTGGATGTTAGGGAAATTCAGACCTGGGATTACATTTTCGATAGATCTCACTTATTGAATGTCAAATACTTAAAAGCCGCGATTCAACTTTTTGGAATGTGTTTTTTTTAACTTCCTCAAATATATTTAAATAATATTTAACCATAAACTTTTGAGATTTCCTTTCTTTATGCAAACTTTCCCTGGAGAAATGAATGTTTATGTCTAAAAAATGTGGCCAGAGAAAACACGCTAGCCACAAAATTGTTTTCAAATTAAGATGGCAATTTTCAGCGACCAGTGCCCATGTTCACGGCCAGAGGACCATGGTAAAGCACCCCAAAATACGACAGAAAGACCTGGTCAGGTGTCAGCTGAGAGTGTGCGTGTGTGTGTGTGGTGGGGGGTGTAGGGGTGGGGCCAAGAACTTATGGCGAAGCTCGACGGCAAAGAAATTTGATTATGTTCGCGGTTACACTTCATTCGTCTCCAACTCCCCCTACCCAGCACCATGGCAAATTGACATAAATTGTTTTTGTTGTTGTCTTTGGAGCCCTCACTCAAGGAATTTATGCGATCAATTAAATTTTTCAAATGACCAAAAAGTTGTTTTGCTTTTTAATTTTCATAAATTTTACTTAAATGTTTTCATATTTCGATAGTAAATTTTATTTCGGCCGCCGCTTAATGTGTCAAGTTCTTTTGGGTTTGGTTTTTTGGGCGAGTTATGAAAATCATAACAAGATTTTATGATGATTAGAAAATTTAGATATCGGGGCGGGGCATAGGGCATATGAAATACACACACTCGTTAGCATTAGAATTTATTGCAAATGAGCAAAACTTTTTCAAAATTAGAATGCACAAAAAGTCAGGCAGGGCAGTGAAAGTAAATCAAATGTAAATCATCGACAGCAACCAAGCGATCCTGGACCAACTTTCATCTTTCAAAAGTCCGGCAGCAGCAGCGGCAACGGCAGCAAAATGATATACAACACATTTTGTGGAACCTTTACAACTAAATGCGGATAATCTGTAAGTTTGCTTTACCAAATTTATGTGAAACGGGTGGAGTTTTCCCTATATTCTTCATGCTGCTCCTGCTGTTGGCTGGCCGTGTTGTTGTGCTTTTTCTTGGTTCCCTGTATAGTTTTTCAGCTACCCCCTCGTATCTGGTGCCAGCCGCCCAAAACTAAAACATGCGCATTCAATGGGCGTCCGTCCCATCCGGGCAACACCCACCCCTAGCCCGATCCTGTTGCTGCAATTCATTTCCAACAGACGGGTGTGTATATGTGTGTGTGTGTGTGTTCGTTTGGAGCAGTGCTTCTCAGTATATGTGCGGAGATTTACCGTTTTATACTTGACATTTCCAAAAGTTTAAGTTTTAATTTATGACACCGCCACTTTCTATACGGGGCGACAAGCTAAATATGAGCGTGCGGCGGAGGAGTAGGAGAAGGAAGGGCGGGCATCCTTAAACAGGATATCTAACTATTGTCGTTAGTCTTGAGGCGCTCGTCCAGCTCATCTTTACAATACGCTCAGCTTTCTATGCTGGCCATTTGTTCATTTAAATGGCCACAGAGGGGATCCAAAAAACACTCCTGCGGTGGGAAATGGATTCTAAATCTTAAATATTTTAAATCCTATACAATATATAATTCACACAAGTAAATTAATGGCTTACAATTAATCAATTACTACATATTAAATATATTATATTATTAAAGCAAACTTGGGTTTAGGTTAACAGCTGGTCGAAAACTTCCGAACCAGCGTTTCAGACCTCAATGAGGTCATTTATTTTTTTCATCTACAAATACACTTGAATTTAATTTGCCAAAAAAAAAGAGAACAATCAACATTAAGATCCAACGATTTGGGAGTGCGTGGGTATAACATCGGATGCTCGTAACTCCTATTCAGTAAAAATTGAGAATTTGTTATCACTTTAAGAGCAGTTGCAGACTCACCCGGCAGCGATTGATTTTTAATCCGATTGCTACAAAATTTCTCAATTAAAAAAAATCTAGAACCAACGATTTCGGCGAGTATGGTGCCAACTGGGGCGCTCATAATTACCGACACCTGCTTCGGGAATATATTATATATTATAAAGATATATATGACAATATTGGCGATAATTGCCTTACCTGGTAGGGAATTGTAGTTATCACCACCACCCCGGCGCATTTCCGAGGGAGAACTATAAATAGGAGCTATAATACTTAGCGCTTGTATTATTTCCAACTATACTTACTACAATCCGTTTCGTGAATCGTATCGTCGATTCTCCATGCCGTGTCTCATAGGGGAGCGATAGCCAGCGCCTCTATAGGGATTGGAATCATCGTCATCGTGATAGTTCCTAGGCCTTTGAGGATACCAATCGTGTCTACCGTAACTGACACAGTCGCCAGAGTATGACCTCATCTGATCCCCGTCCTCTGGTCGCTCACATCTGTAACCAGTCTGGGCGACATACTGTTGGTAACACTGCACGAAATTCCGGAGTACTGAAAATCAACAACAATTAAATATAAATTCAAGCCGAGCTCACATCAATCGCACTGTCATTGTCGGGTGCTGCCATGCCGTAGGTCTCCATAATTTTGAAAATTTAAAAAAAAATGAATTTGAATTTTTCGTAAACCGAAAAAGTTGTTTTTAGCCTGAACGTAAGAACAAAAATGAATTTTAGAAATATAGCACAAGCCTCGTTCCCTTTTTGGGTTTGCATGGATAACTAGACTGTTTGCATTTATTGGTTTTGTACTCAAAACTAAACTAAGTGCTTGCAACTTTGAAATAGTTATTGATTTTAATTTAAAATAACTAACTGGCCGGTTAAAATATATATATTTTCGATGGGCTAAGCACCGAGAATTTGAAGGTGTTTCTGCCAACACCTTTTTAGACTTCTTTTAATTTTTAAAATAATATTTCCACACCTATTAATGTAAGTTTCCATAGTTTGAATATGCTCATTAATATAGTGTTATCGTTTATCCATTTTCATAAACCAATAATCGATTATGTCATTCCAATAATCGATATGCCAGCTTCTGTTTCAAATACAGTGGGAATAGCACGGAAATGTATGCATGAATGTGTGTATGCTTATAAGCGAAGACCAAGCTTACTTTCCTCTATTATGAGCTTATATTTATCTATAGATCTTATTTGTTTTACCAAGAATCTGGCAGAAAATTTGGCTTTTGCTTGACGAGTATGGTATAACTGAAAATGAACAAAATCTTAAATATTGCCTTGCTATGCGATTCTCATGAACTCAAGTAGATAGGATTTCTTGCTTTCAATGAACTGTAATAATAACCCTTGTCCCTCTGCTCCTTAACTGTTTTTATATGTGTTGTTTTCCTTTTACTTTGCTGGCTGATTCTTGGCAATACAAACAAATCATATATATTATAATAATGTTAAATTTGGCGACCTTTCCATGTTATAAATATTATATATTATATATTATATATTATATATTATATATTATATATTATATATTATATATTATATATTATATATTATATATTATATATTATATATTATATATTATATATATATATATGTTATATTATATTATACTTACGGGTATCGCACGGCCTTGCCCGTGGCACGTATAAAATAAATTCTCTCAAAGATCATTAAAAATGAGCTTGAAACCAGTAGTAAACAAAAGTAAATTTTATGCCGATGACCGCTAATTTACCATTGTTGCGAGTGAAATTTTACAAATCGCTAAAACAGGCATTCATTAAATGAAATGTTGAGCTTTGACAATAAGTTTGAAGCAAATCGGATAAAATTCAAAACTTCACCAAAAAGTCTTAGAACCACCTTTTACCGAGTATGCTTAAATTCTGCAAAAAGAAAAATAACATTATTTTTGTATAATCTTTTTTTTTTTTGTTTAAAACTCAGCGTAGATCGAAGAAAATGTTTGTATTTAAAATGGACTAGAAAACGTTTGTATTTTCCTTTTCAAATTTCTAATTTGCTAATGATGTGTAAGTGCGTATGTGTGAGTGAGTGTGTGTGTGTATGTATGTGTATAAAGTAACTTTAGCTCTAAGTCCATGGGCTCAACATGAAAGCTGAAATCCCTCTGTCCACCAGGCTAGCCAGGAAAACCCTGCACCTTCTCTGTGAGGATGATGAATTTGGACATTTTGTGTGCGCAAAGTCACTTGCTTAAAAGTTATTAGGGATTAAAAGAGTTGCGGCTGTGGACACAAATGCGCTTCGGAATCTGCTTCATTAGGGACAGAGGCCATTGCATGGGACATGGCACTGTACAGGCAGGACATGTGTGTAGTCTGTGTGTGGGTAGGTAAACACCTTTGGTGAAAGTTTTTGAAAATACTAAAAGGAAATCACTTTAGACGTCCTGCAGAACGGTCCCAAAGAAAAAGCAGCAGCACCAAAAGTTTGCGCAGTCACGCCCCCAAATCCTCCTGAACCCAACCGAAAAGCTCAAGTTTCTGCTGGAGAAAGCGTGAACGATTATGACTACCAATCCTGACTGCTTCTGCCTGCTCCTGACTGCCTCTGATGGCAGGCAGCGTGGAGTTTTAATGTTGCCCGCAGCAACTTTTGAGACATCTTAATTCCCTTCGAGATAAATCAAAAATGGGTAACCAGATCAGTGAGTGTATCCATTGGGTATGGGGGCTGGTTTATGCTACACAAAATTTGTATTTTTATTTACATTTTCAACTTATGCATTTTTATGAGCTGCGCTTTGTGTGGGTGTGGGCGTGGGTGTGTGTGGTTTATCCTTTCATAAATGCGTCCAACGGCCAACTGATTTATGCCACCACAAGCTGGCGCTGCTGGCAGCCAGTTGCATCCCTTGACCCCCTTGCCACACCGGCGCTGGCAGGCGCTTCCTGACGACGTCGACGGCAACAAAGTAACAAAACAGCAAACAAAAATTCCAGAAACAACATAAAACCGATTGATTTATTTTGACAATGCTCCATGCAGTAGTGCCTAGCTACACACAGAGCCGGAGTCAGAGTGAGAGCCGGAGTTGGTGAGTCCGAGGCCAAGTCCGGCTGCCATTGTTTGCACAGGCGTCGCTCGGCCCCATCGACATGTTCCATTCGCATTTCGGACCGTCAGCAGACCCAGCACCAGCCCCAACCATAGCCTAGACTCAGTCCCAGTCCCAGCCGCCCCCGTTACGTTGCCTACCGCCTGCAAAGTTGTCCTCTTTGTCGGTTTGTAAAATATTTTATTTGCACATCTTTCTTATTTTAATCCTTCATTGCATTCTGTTTGGTTTGGGCGACTTGAGCTCCACCTCGGGTTCGGTCTGCATGCAGCCACAGTGTGGGAGCGGGAGCCGGTACAAATACAATTCAGACTACGTGTGTTTCTATGCTGCGGCAAAAGCCCATAAAACACACGTTAATTACCCTACAGTAGCAACCCCCAACCCCCACATCAAGCTTCACATTAATTCCTGCAAAATTATTTAATGCAAAAAAAATTATCTCGTAGCGTTCCCGGCCGTTACTATCCATCCCGCCAAAAGAAGCTAACCACATTCTTTGAATTGATAGAATATCCACAAAGCATGTAACATATTCGACACGAAGCCCATCTGAGGTAATGCCACGTTCTTCCACCAATTTCACACATCTGCGGGTGGAAACAGTGGTAAATCGGTCAATAAAAACAATTCTTCATAAAGAGATAGCAGGAAGTATATAATTTGTTACAATTTTGGCGTAAGTATGTGGAATGCGTTAAACAAATGTAGAACTATTCACAAGGATTCGTACATTATTCTGTTGGGGAAGCATTGACTGACGAACATCCGTCCTGGCATTCATTATATGACCGAAAACGAACTTTTACTACGAAAATAACCAATAATAAAGAATGGATATCGAGACATCACCATTATTGCCAATATGAGTTGACCGTGACGGACTGTCCAATGGAATCTGAAATATAGTTTCATATTTACAATCTCTTTCTTAGATTGTGTATTTCAGGCACATACCATCCGCAAATTGGGGATATTCGGGCTGCTTATGACACCTATCATTGGGTGTACTGTTGGTGGGAGAATCACAGCTTAGTCGAAATGGGACGTGTATTTGATATTCATCCGATTACTTACTACAAACCATTGCGGGCCAACATTTCCCGGGATCGTCGATTATGACGGTCCATGCTACGATAGGCGAACGAGCTGTTTGTTACCGAATGCCGGGGTGGATAATCCTCATTGCATCCATACGGCGAATGGCCAAGATTCGGCTTGCAGCCGCTGTCGTAAAAATCGCTTTGGAATTGTTGGCCGCTCAAATGTGGAGCACCTGCCTGATCGTAGCTCTTATTAGTGCCGTTCATCTATGGGGCGAGGCAAAATTGAATCAAAATTATATCCGTGGGAGATGCGGCACTCGGCATACCTCGGGATAAAATAGTTGGGGAAATGGCATATTGATCCGATAGCCACCAATTTGTGCATTCTCAAAATAATCCATAATTTTATATACAATTTTAAACTGAACCAGGATTAAGAAAAAATTACCTATGCCAAAATATAGTAAATTTTAAGGTCGAATCGAAGATAGTATTTTAGTTACAAGCTCTGAATGAATACTGAAACTGTTGTATACATGCTGGAAAACAATTTACCTTAAACTTGGAGAAAGGCCAACTTGACTAGGTAAAAATAAATGAGGTTCTAGTCGGGAGCTCCCGACTAGGGGATACCCTGAACCCTCTTCTGCCAACACCAAATGCAAATATATATACTATTCTAGAAGCCACATGTTAAGTTTGGTGACTCTAGCTCTTATTATTTACCAAAATTGCCAAAAAAATCTATCAATCTATCAATATAAATTTTTTTTTCGAAAACGGGGCATGTTATTTTTATCGGAAACAAACTCGATCTGCGCAGGCACTAGGAGGACCTACATCTAAAATTTCAAGCCTCTAGCTCTTATAGGTTCTGATATCCTTGCGTTCATACATACATACGGACGGACGGACAGACGGACGGACAGACAGACAGACAGACGGACGGACGGACGGACGGACGGACGGATAGACGGATAGACGGACGGACGAACAGACAGACAGACGGACATGGCGATCAAGAATATATATACTTTATGGGGTCGGAGATGCTTCTTTCTACCTGCTACATACATTTACCTTTTTTAAAAATACAATATACCCTTTTTACCCATTTTAAATGGGTTCAGGGTATAAAAATGAAAATTCTTCAACTATATAAATAATTATGGTTGCTTGGCGAACTTTTGAAATTATAGTTAAGGCCAGAACTTCAGCCAGCTATAATACTATTTTTAAATCAATAACATATCAGGGTAAGACTCAAGAGATCTCCCGCTTAATAATTGATCTTTAAGGCTGGCGTATCCAGGCTATGCCCACTTCCACAAATTGCAGACATTTATATATCAATCAATTTGGTAATCAGTGTGATTTTAACAAGCTAATAAATATGTTTGAGCGTTACACTTGCGTCTCTGCGTCTCTGAACAGTGCATAACGTAGTCGGTTATACCTATGTTTCCAGTGCAGATTTTCTTGCGAACACGGCAACGCTCTGCATTGTAAATATTTGCAACATGTACTAAGTGCTTTGCAAATTTTGCCAGTGAAATTAGAATGAAGACTTCATATATATTTCCTGGCGTAAGTCCACAGAAAGCGAACTATATTTTTAATGTTTCTTTTTGCTTAATGATAGAAATCTCGAAATAGGATACAACATTTAACATGTGGCATACTTCCCGATGTAGCCTTTTATACATATGTAGATTAATTGAAGCACTTAGAACTGCATGGCAATACGATAAACCTTTGAATCCGTGAGTACCTGCTGACAGACCGCGCATCGAAGAACAAGGTTAGACAAACATTGTGTTAACTGGGCATTTATTTCATAAGTAGCCGAAAGGATGAAATATAAGAAACAAATTTATTCAAAGCCAGCAAACGGGTGCGCACTCAAATATAGATATATTGGGACTAGTAATAAGGGTTGCCGCCGCCTTGACGGGACTGGCCGTACATTTGGCCCTCGGCACCACCAATACCTGGCAACGAGCTATAATAGTCGCCGTTTCCTCTGCCCGAGCGCTGATCCGTTGGCGAGCTGTATGGGGGGGTTAAGAGCAAGGTATTCCATATTAAGATTGGACTAAATTATCGGATGCACTTACTAGAGTCCGTTGCGCGAGTTCATTTCTCTTAAGACTTTTGTGTATCGCAGTGGGCTGCGGTAGCCGGGACCTCCAAAGGAAGCCGATCCGCTCTGACAGTTCCTCGAGTCGTCATAGGACTGCAGTCCACCGCCATAACCACGCGGCTGAAGGAATTCCTGACCCATCTCTGGTGCCTGGCCGTCGGGAGCGGACATACCGTAGCCTTCCATAGACTGATATTGACCATTTCCGTTAGCTTGACCGTAATCCATATTTTATCTTTTTTTTTTACGTTTTTTCACACGATAAATTTACCGAAAATTTTGAAAAGCCGTAAAAGTTCTATACAAATTTTTTTGGTACTTTACTGTCCGAAAAGTTATTTGTAAATAAATATATGTCCGACTGAGGTCGGCACAGGCCACATTTGAATCAAGCTCATGGCTAGTTTGATCAAAGAAAAAATATGTAAAAATGGAAAGCAAAGTTCTTAATATTTTGGAAGCTGTGCCCAACCATCGCAGATTTATGAGTCCATTTCCTTAGCTGGCCAATTTCTTAACCCATTCGGACGGGGCTTATCGCAGCAGCCGCAGTGCAAGCAAAGTTTTTCAACCCACAAAAAAAAAGCCTCTAAAATCGCCATAATGGAAATCAAAACGCCGACCCCCCTCCCCTCTCTCGTTGAGCCAATGAATATGCAGAAGCTGCAGTAGTCGGCGAATAATTAAAATCGAGCAGCTCCTTGGGGAGGATTACACGAGCGCAGCCTCAGAGATACGGGCCACACTCCTTACGGTCGACAATTAAGTGCGCCTCGTAATCTGTCTGTCGTAATTATGGCTCCACGGCGTATTTATCTGCTGCAATTAGCGCCGTGCACGAGTCGCATATTTCACAGATCCAAAGATTGAATTGCACGGACCGAATTTGCATTGCGCTTAGATGCAGAGCTGGGTCCTTGGCCTCGGGACGCCAGCGAATCGCGCAAGTTTATGTCTTTAATTAAATTTCGATAGAAAAAAATTGAGAATTAAACGCGATAACAACTGTTTATTATTCAGGTATTTGAACACCTTAATTCTTCGCAGTAATATTATTAGAAAAACTCTCCATGCTATATTTTTCTATATACTACATATATTTATTTATATATATGGCCCAAGTATGTTTTTATGTGATCATATTAATAATTATCTACTGTACTGTAAGTATATTTATAAAGGTCTGTAGTTCCCTTAAATTGAATCTGACGAATTTAAGATATACTATACAAATTGTGTTGCTGTCGAAAACATCTTCAGATGAATCATGAAATACAAACTTATTTCTAATATTTATTAAGGCCACAACAATATTTGCAGCTATTATTTTAGTTGCGATTTATCGAAAAACTCTTTCACATTTTTTTGACCATTTTCATATTTCTTATAAAAGACAATATAAATAGTATTTTTATTATATTGACCCAACTGTATATCTAAAATTACGCTGAAGGAAATCTCCTTGGAGCTGGAATATTATAAGCTTTGCTATAACTTTTATCAACTCTCTTTGGATTTTTGCTAAATCTAAAGTTGTCTAGGATTGGCAGTTAATATGATATTCGTTCAAACTCTTGGACATTATCTGCCCAGAGCGAATGGATCGCTCGAGGAGGTTTTCACGTAATAGATGCCAGCCTTGGGTACGGATGGTTCTCCGCCCATTCGGTGCGCTTGTCGCTGACTCTGGTCACACTGCCACTTGCGCTTCTCCCGCCTGCAGGGCGTGCCCCAGAAGCCATTCGGGGAGTTGATGGACTCGGCGAACATCTGATAGGCGCGTATGTGCGAGCAGCCCAAGTAGAAGCAGTTGCGTTGATAGAGTCCATAGTTCGGATAGAAGGTAGCGCTGCCCGTGGGCTTCAAGAAGCCAAAGTTGCCGCTAGTGTGCATGGACTCCACATACTTGGCATCGCTGGGATCGATGCGGAACTGGGCACTGCGATGGCGAAATTTCGGACCAGCCGGATCCAGGGCGAAGATGGTATTGTACTGCTCGGGCTTGAGGCGTTTGCCCGCAGCACCGGCTATTTGGGCGCCCAGCGAGTGCCCAACCAAGTACATGTCATCGTAGCTGGCATGGAACTGGCGATGCAGCTCCCGTGTGAACTGCGCCAGCTGGGCACCCATCTCCTCGATTAGTTGGACCACGGAGAAGTAGTTGATATTGGCAGAACTGGCGCTCCAGTCTGTAACGATGACATTATAGTCGCCGTGCTTTAGGTAGGCGTTTTTCACGTCCCGGTTAAAGGAGCCGCGCGACTGGCTCATCCAGCCGTGTATGATGAGACGGGTGGGCAGCGATCTATTGAAGCCGGCATGGCGCCACTTCTGCTCATTTTGGAAGTCCAGCTCGCGTCCGCACTCGGGAAACTCGCGCTTGAATAAATAGAAGAGCATGCGATGGCGTGTGGTGCCAAAAGGATTAAGATTCCCGGCAATCTTCTTCAGGAACGCTAAGTCGAGGAAGCTGCCAATGCCGCGTGGTTCGCTCAGATCGTTGTCGCACTTGTTCCACACACAATGCTCGGCGCCCTCGTACTCATCCGCCTCCAGCGTGGACTTCAGATCGTCCGGCTCTTCCTCTTCAAAATCGCCGCGTACGCCAATGTCCACCTCCTCAGGATCTGGCACCAGGTCCATAAACTCGCCCATTTCCGCTTCGTAAGCCTCATCGATATGGTTGCTTTGGGCTATAATGGAACAGGCCTTTCTATAGGATTTGCGTCCAACTCCCGTTGTTCAAGCCTCTACTTACCATGCGCTGCGGCCATTAGCAGGACTACGGCAAGTATTTGAAACCACATTTCGACTCGCATCAGCTCTAAAAGATCTACACAAAGCGTCTATTAGACTCTGTTGGGCACGTTCAGCTCACACGCTTGTTATATATACGCCAACTAATCAGACTCTGAATCTGATCAGGGAGCCAGCGGCGTAGCGCCTAGATCTAGCCCCCCCATGCAAGCCAGTTCCCAGAGAACGATCAGCTGCCAACGCCTCTGAAGTTATCATCTGGCAATCTAAACTCAATCGAACTGGCATTGCCCACGGCAGCAGCCGGCACGCGTTTCCCAGCTAAGCAACTCTCCGATTGCAGCTGATTTCTAATTGCATTACCGGTTCTATATATACTATATACTATACATATTAATACACATCGAGTGTTTGAACTTTTATGACTCTGTCTCGATGACGTCTGGGAATTTCTTTAATTCGTTTGGGGCGTTTTTAATTGCAGATTTGAATCATGTCATTTTTCACCTTATAAACTAAATGACATAGGTGCTATGGGTCAATTGGAAATGTTAATAATTAGCAAAATGTCAATAGTTGTCATTTTTACCAGGAATATCATTTGAACAATTAGAGTTAGGGGTGCAATCGTCATTAATATGCTATATTATTATATAGAAGAAGAATGTTGCCAAGATACCAAACTGATCTAGAGGCCAAACCATGAACAACGAGCCAAGCCTCGTTAAATTCGAATGAGATTTGACCGAGTTAGGGGGTTGGGAAATTTTGACCTATGTCCATTTTCACAAGAAGTTTTACCAAGAATAATGTTACCAGATTTGGATGCCAAATTGATTTTGTATATATCTATGTATATATGTATGTAATACATACATATATAGCATATATGCATGTAATACATACATATATAGCATATATGTATGCTTGTATGCATGTGTGTTTATATGCATGCCTGTTTGAATGTCGGAATGAATGCATGCATTATTGTATAATTATCTGTAATGTAATGTATGTATGTATGTAGGTATGTATGTGTGTGCATATGTGTGTGTATGTGTGACGTGGGTGTATGTATGTATGCGCGTATATATGTATGTATGAATGCATGTAGTTGTCTTCTAATAGCAGAGCAATTTGTTGCGCGGCAAATTTAAATAAAGAAACTTATTTATTAAAGCTGCCCTCCTCCTCGATTCTCAAAAATTTAAGTAAGGCTTGCAGGCTTCACCTATGAATTAGGCGCAGGCGGCTTCAACGCTGGAAGCTGAGGAGCCGGAGGAGCACCAAGGAGGAGGCGTGAGATTGTAGGTATGTATTTTAGTATGTATGTAGATATGTATGTAGATATGTATTTAAGTATGTATTTAGGTATGTATGTAGTTATGTATGTAGTTATATATGTATTTATGTATGTATGTATATATGTATGTATGTATGTATGTATGTATGTATGTATGTATGTATGTACGTATGTACGTATGTATGTATGTATGTATGTATGTATGTATGTATGTATGTATGTATGTGTGTGTGTGTGTATGTATGTATGTATGTATGTATGTGTGTATGTATGTATGTATGTATGTATGTATGTATGTGTGTATGTATGTATGCATATATGTATGTATGTATGTATGTATGTATGTATGAATGAATGAATGTATGAATGTTTTTATAATGATCTAAATTATATACATATATAAATTATTTTGCTTCGTTTGTCTTATGGAAGTTACATATTGAAATCACAAGTGTTGCATCGGTTCGCGGTCCATAAACGAAGGCTTTAGTTTTAATCTTCATCCCGTTTCTAATAGAACATTTTATTGTATGTTTATTCACAACCTATATATTTTTCTCATGACTTTTCTATTTTTGCAGCTTTGATTCACATTCAATAATATACAACTTTTTATTTTGAAAACTTTACTACGCACTTATATTTCGAATATCTTAGAACATTTACCTAATAATTTATTTTATGAAGCAAAAAGAGCTGGCAAAAAGTAACGGGCTTGTGTCGTGTGTAACGTATCAACCAGCTTTGAGTCGTCAGCATTCAATTTTTGTCAGTGTGGTAAAGGTGGTATCACCATAGCTAATCGATAGGCTGCAAATATATCGATAGTTATTCTTATGGCTTCCATTTTATCAATAACAAAGAACAAGCAAAGTTGTAAATATCTATTGCCTTCCGTAAAGATAGCCGCACATCGCGGTTACAACAAATCAATAGAATGAGTCTTGACGACGTGATCTACGTAATATGTCTGCTGGCCTGCATTGGCGCCGGAAGTTACGTGAAGAAAATCCGCGATGAGTCGCAGCGCAAATGCACTTGCTCAATGCTGGGCATTATTGTTGTTGTTGTCGTCTCGGGCTTCCACAGCCTGCACTGTGCCATCTCCGCCGCACTAGGCACGGCCAGTGTGCTCCTGGTGCATCCTAGGTAAGTGGCATGTCTCTGTGTGTATGTTTTCCTTTCATATTCAATTTTTACTTATCCGTTAATATAATTCCAGCAAGTGTCACTTGGTCACATTCGTCGTAATGTTTGGCTATCTGGTTTTCTTCCGGCTTGTGTACCTCTTTGGCCTGCCGGCGGTGCCCGGCCATACCAACATGATACAAATGTTGCTCACACTGAAGGTTAGTTGCATAACTATTATTGGCCTAGCCTTGACCGGCTTTTCTGAACTATTCACTTAGGTGTCTGGCATTGCTTTTGAGAAAACCGCAGCCTGGAAGCGTTTACAGGCACGCGGCGAACAGGACAACAATGAGCAGCGGGATGTCAACAGCGAGCCCAGCATAGAGATTACGGACTACGATATGGACTTGCAGAAACTGAGTGCCACAGAGATAGTGCACTATAGCTTCAATTACGTAGGCATTCTCACAGGTCAGTGTACAAATGCTATGAATACATGCATGTCTTCTTAATCTTATTTTTAAGTCAAGGTACAGTAGAAGCTCGCTTGCGTGCACATCGACAATTCCAGATTTTTCTTCTGCTAAAGTATAGTGCTTTAAAGAAATGTCAAACAAAAACTGACATGTTAAAAAAAATATCCGTCTGATGAAAATATTCGTTAAAAGAGCTTTCACTGTAGTTGCCATTGCATGCGCTTTGTGCATATGCTTGTTGCCTGACAAGTATGCAATCTATGCCTTCACCTTGAATTGCTTGATTGCTGCACAATTTGCAGCCGGTGCCAAAGTCCATTTATTTAGTTGTCTGAACTTAAACTGAACCCACAAATAGTAAACATTTTATGGGTGGTTATCTATAGATGCGAATAATCACTATACATGCAGTTACCCGTCTTATCTATACGCACTGTCTGCATGTCATTCTATTTATAAACGAATATTGCAGAATTCCATTCAGAACTTGTTAATAAATCTTTATCTTAAGTTGTTCAAAGATTATGATCTAAGATTATATAGGTTTAATGTAGAAACAATTGAACTTTTGTTTAATTTATATCCATTTCTCTAAATTATTTTGATCAATTTTTACCTTAAAAAAAAGTATTTAAACACATTTGTTTTTCTTTGCTAAACTTTAATATATTTTGTACATTTTTTAATATTTGTAAACTACATTTTTGCTTCAACTTTACTTTCTGCCTTTAATTTGTCATATTTTATTTTAATAGTTTCCTTATAAAAAGCTGAAGCTGAAGCTGAAAAACTTATTAAATTTCCATTTTAAACTTTACAAGCAAATAAGTGAAGAGTTTAAAGAAATGATTAAAATAAAATTAATTATTAATTTAACAACTCCTTTGTATTTTCCATAATATAATAATATATATAACTAATTTTGTATCTTTCAGGCCCATATTATCGCTATCGTACATATCGTGACTACTTTGAGATGCCTTTTAAGGATCATGCGCCCTGCGCACAGGCAACTATCGAGCAGCTCAAATCGGCTGTCTTCTACTGCAGTCTATATCTGCTGGCCAACTACATTTGGCCACTGGGGGTGAGTACATGAGCCAGTAAAATATTAATGAACGTAATTTAATACTCTTTTAATTTTAGTACGCGCTTAGCGATGAGTTCTACAATGATCGATCCGTTCTCTATCGCCTTTTATATGTGTGGCCCACGTTCTTCATTTTCCGCGCACGCATCTACACCGGCCTGACATTGAGCGAGTGCGTGTGCACAATGGCAGGATTTGGTGCGTATCCCGATGAGGCTGATGTCACCAATGGAGAGGGGCCGCGCAAGCGTTATCAGCACATGAAACGAGATGCCGAGAAGCGTAGCTACAATTTTACAACAATTGTGAATACACGCGTCCTCGAAGTGGAGCGCTGCTGGACTTTCCGCGAGGGCATGAAGCACTGGAACGTGTGCGTTCAATATTGGCTCGCGGTGAATGTCTACAAACTGTTTCCCATCAGGAAATATAGGTGAGTCTGCCCATACAATTTGCATGTGTGCTGTTGCCCCGGAGCTCAATAATGCTAGCTAACGTTTAGTTAATTGAGCTTTGCGCAAGCATAGTTATTATTTTTATTGTCTTGATGTTGTAATTACTTTAATGGATACTCGCCCAGGCTAGAAAGGTATTCAACGTATCGCATTTAAGGAGTTTCTCAACTGCTATTCTTTTATTAAACATTGACTTCACTTTCAGAACGGGCGCCACGTTTCTGTGCTCGGCATATTGGCATGGCTTCCGCCCGGGTCACTACTTCTGCATCATGGGCGCACCATTTTACGTGCCTCTGGAAGACATGTGGCATAAGCTAGTGCGCAAGGATGCTGTCGGCCTGCGACGCACCGTAATCGATGTCATATTTTGGATATCCAAGTGGTTCGCCTTTAGTTACCTGGGCACAGCCTTTTTGCTGTCCTCGTTCGACAGCATTTGGCGCTTCTACAGCTCCGTCTATCACATTGGCTATATCACCTGGGCGCTTCTGGTTGCCCTGGGTCTGTACCTCACCAAGCTCAAGAAGGCGGCCGAACGCAAAGCAAAACGCGCTGCGGACTCCATTGCTCCTTCTGTAGAGCTAAACACATCAAAACAAAAAGCGCAGTAAGAACATAATTCAGATATGCAGCACGAACACAATTATTTAATAGTTAAATTCGGCAACTTTCCGTGTTCCATTTATACATAGATGTTGTAGAATGTTAGTCAAATTCTAACACCATAAGATATATAATGAACTTTTTATATTGTTCAAATTATTGACAAAAAACTAACGTTAAACCGTATCAGGTTGGCTAAGAATATAAGAATTTATCAGTTATATACACGTTTGGCTGTAAGGTTAATTATTCTTCGACAGTCCAAACATATACCTTCTTGAATTATACAAATATTCAATTAAACTTATTGAAGTTTAAAATGGCTATGTAGTTTTCTAAAATGTAATCTAAAAATTAACTAGCGAATGGAATATATATTATACAAATTCATCAGATCTTATGTTCCGAAAACAAAAGAAAACCAAATGTTGAAAAACTTTTTCAGATATTGCAGCTTTATTTTTGAAAACAATATATTAATATTAAAATACAAGCTTACCAGACTATAGTTTATTTTATTTGTTTTCAAACTTAAACATCATTAAAATATTTTACAAAGATTTCTAAAGATTTATACAAAAAAATGCTGGTATTGAGATTGATTGAGCTATGCAGTTTAAAAAAGGAAAAATTCGAGATGTATATAGAAATGAATAATACAAGCAAATATCATAAAATTCGAGTGGAAAGATTTTTGTTAGTGTTTCGATTTGTTCTACTGAATGTGAATAATGTTATGTCGACTTGTTGTATGTAATTATCTAAAGAAAAGAATACTTAAGCCAATTGATGGTCTCCATTAGCTCTATATGTAGATTAAGGATTTTGTAATTGTTTTTAATTTATATTCGATACCAGCTCGAATTTGGTCTAAATTCAATGCGTTTCGATTTCAGTTTCATAAATTTAGTTTCTTCAAATGTGGAGCATGGCAAGAGAGATTTCCTGTTGCGGTAGGTTATGCTTGTGCCCGCCAAATACCACAGAGGCGACGGCAAAAGCGAGTGTCAGGCCGTTGACGGCTCATCGGTAACCAGGGAAAGGCGACGCTTCACATCCTGCGTGGTGTTATAGGCGCCACAATGCACGCACTTGAGTCCGATAAAATGAAATTTGGTTTTTGAAGTCTGCAGAGATTGGATCATTAAGCGTATGTAACTATAATCTGTGTATGGGTTACCTTGTGACAATCGTTGCAAAAGATGTGCACACGCTGATTCTCATACTTGAGCGGCACGGGCATGCGCAGTGCCTGGGCATCCAGGTACTCCCACAGCGCCGTCATGTCAATCAGCGATGTTTGGCAGGTGGGGCATGTGTAGTGACCCGAGGCCAGCAGCTGATCGAAGCACATTTTGTGCAACAGATGCCCGCAGTCCGGAATGTGGCATGGAATGCGCGACGTGTGTATATCGCCCAGGCAGACCGGGCAATGCGAACGCGAGATGTTCTCCACGCACTGCAAAACAAAACATATAAACGGTGAGTCCCCAATATTTTTTAATATATATTTTTATTTTTTTATCTTGGATTAAACTTTTAAATTATTACCGGTTTCTTATCGGCACCTGTTACAGACAAATACACTTGCAATATGTTTGCTAACTTTTTGGAGCCAAGAAATTTGATGTTTTACGCAACTTCATAAACTGGATTTGCGTTTAAATTTCAAATACTTATAGCCATTAGGAAACCAGTTCAGCAATGATTCTGCATAAATTTGAATACTCAAGGCTACTATTTCTTCTAATGATCCACAATCTATCTATGCACATATTCAATTCGCCAGCAGTGTCAGGGCTAGCCACAAGCAAAGCTTTCATTAAATTCAGAAAGTCCAAATCGAATGCTCTTGCTGTGATTCATTTCCTTAAGCTATGCTCGAAATCAGCTTGATAGGGCTATCGATTTTAGCCAATAGCCATGATATCATAGAGTACTTATGTGCTAGCCGTAAACATGGTGGAGTTTGACTTTGAATAATTGAGGTATATTATTTCCATAAATCAAATGTATGATTGTTAAATCGATAATAGAAACCAATTTATATGATATAGTACATGTCTGATGTATATATAACACAATAAGTTATTTTTATCTACATCAAGTATCCATCAATTTAATTTGGTAGCTTAAATCATGAATCAGTTTTTGTTACGAGTTCTCATTTAATTTTTGTTAAGTTAGACACATTTAACCTAAAGGCTAGACAATTTATGTGTGTTTACAATTCTCAAGTTGTTTAAGCAATGATTTAGTCGCTTGCGATTGAAGAAGAAAAAGGAAACAACAATATTTTAACTTTAAACTAACTGATTTACTTTAACTGACACACTTTATTCTTTAACCGATTTGCATGTCAAGCGGGTTTTTCCAATGAATATAGTATAAATATTTGCTTAAGTTTGACCCATGCAAAACCGCAGAAAAATTAATTCATATCTTTATCTGGTTAATCTGCTTACCCTGTGTCCATCGATCTTTAGCTGCATCGGCAGACACATGTTGCACACCTCGCAGTGAAAGAAGTTGTGGGCACCACCGATGCGACAGATGCCACAGCCATGACAATGATATTGCTGCTTGTCCGCATCATCGAACAGATTGCAAATGAGGCACGTGTACTGCAAAGGAATATTATGTATCATAAGAGAGAGAGTGAGAGAGAGGGGGAGAGAGGGAGTTGGAAGGTAAGTTCTTACCTTGCCGAAGCGTACGCCGCACTTTTCGCATTGCTCCTGCACCTTTTGCCGCGTGTTGCACTCGGAGCAGATGAGTTCGGTGAGTGTCTTGCGATCGAAATGATGCGATTCGTTCTCATCATGGCAGAAGCGGCACTTGTAAAACTTATTGCAGCACGGTGTCTGCAAAGAGTACAGGGTAAGAACTATAATACATATTGATTTACGACAATATTACTTATGAAGAACTTAAGTATTATATGGATTCGATGATAGATTAATGGGGACAGCTTCTGAAGACGCCAAAACCTTTTCATAATAAGTATCTTCTGAGCTTAAATAAAATGTTAACAGACATAAATCCCAGCTATCCTCTACCTTTAAAAATTTTTTTTTTAAGTTCACCAAGGCATATTTAGAAAAGTATTTTAATATTACTGATATCTCATAAATTTACCGACTTACTTTATATTTTCTTCACTATATTCAACTTTATCGAAATCATCATGGTAAAGTGCATGTTAAGCTTACAATGAGAATTCATCTCTGAGTTTTGGAAGCAGCATGAGGCAACAAACAAATCTAACCATTCACTAGTTCTAGAAAAGTATTAAAATATGGCTCATACATAAATAGTTAAATATATACAACTTTATCGAAATCATCATGGTAAAGTGAATGTTAAGCTTACAATGAACATGCGAATGCAGCTCTGAGTCTTGGAAGCATCATGAGGCAGGCGAAATTCAATTCCGAGTGAAGCTGTTCGTGAAATGAGAGTAAGAGGAAAAGGCTGCCTAGAAACTGGCGACTGGCATATAATACGTGACCAACCGTTCCGAAACAATTCCATTTATTTTGGTCTCGGATCTGCGAGCCGTGGAAGTTAGCATTCCCATAAACATTGCAGACGCAACTCAAGAGAGTCATAAACCTTAATGAAATCAAACCGAAACTGACATCGAAGACAGGCGGCGCCTGTGGCCAATTTGTGGCAAATAAACAATGCTCAGCACAGAAACGCTCCGGTTAATTAGTTTCCTGCTAATTGCTTGGCCAAATACGCTTATTTCCCACATAGATATTTTCGAGCTGCCAATATTTTGTTACAATCAAATATTCTGTGCACTGCAGCGTCCCCGATGACAATATTCAATCAGGTATCTCGACCTCCAAGCGATTTCGACACGCCCATGCTCCAAACGAGCTGACCCTGAGATATCTTTACAATTCTAAAATAAAAATTCACTTGCACGCTTGACATGTTCTTAATTGGCAACACGCAACATTCGCAGCTCCAATTTTGGAATTCTGCAGTGCGAAAACTTCGATTTTAGTTTTTCGATAATGGATAATAGACTTTATGCCAGGGCTAGTTTTTCACATTCTTGAATTTAAGTTTTGGTTCAAAATTGTGATTTTCCATATTTACAATATTTTTACAAAACAATGGCCCGTTGTACTGAAAATATAATTTATAATATAATATATTTTCATATACAAGATGCGGGCTAGATTTAACCTCTACCTAAAATTGTCAGCTTCCAAAGAGGGTTAGGTTAATGTCATAATTGGGAAGAAAGTTATTTATACTTTGCAGCTAGGTCTCCCTTATTAGATTCCATTTCGCCTATTCTTTGGATAAATGGTTTGGTTAAATGTTCGATTCATTGCAAAAAAAAACTAATTGGAATTCCGGGTTCGAACCGAATCATCTTAAAACCGGGTTGCAGCTTTGCTTTTCACACACTTTGTTTTAATGTATCGGTTCAAAATTACCCATTTTCAATGGGTTCCGGGAATAGAATGAATTAGAGTTGTATAATTTTAGATGGAACCCCTCGAATAAGACTATCTCAAATGCGACCCAACTACTTGAACGGATCAAACAGTCTTGATATAATTTGTATACCTTGACCCCATTGAAAATGGGTAAAAGGGGTATATTGTTTTTATGCATATGTATGTAACAGGCAGAAGTAATCATCTCTGACACCATCAAGTACATATATTCTTGATCAGCATCAATAGCCGAATCGATCTAACCTTGTCCGTCTGTTTGTCCGTCTGTCCGTCCACCCTTATATATGAACGCGTTGATCTCAAAACCCATAATTTTGCCCGCGCAGTACGAGTTTCCGATAATCAATAACTTGCCCCATTTCCAAGCAATCCTAAAAAACCCATATCGAAATCCTGTTTTTGAGTAAATCTGCAATATCATTTCATAGCCACAGATTCTAATCAGCATCAGTTTGTATAAGCCACTCTTACAATTTTAGGACCAATAACCTCTTTTAACTCAATATCTAAGTATACATTTTCTTTTTTAAAGCGGAAAAACAATGTCCATTACAAATAAACGGTGCGTTTGAATTCACGCCGAATAAATAATTAAGAGCAATAGTTATTTGTACTCTGAAACATTTAAATGGGAGTCTATATTGACTCATATGCTGGGTACTATCACCAGTAGAGTACACAGCATTCGGTGTGTTATTAAAAACTCTGATTTAATTTTCTTGGGTGCATTGAAGCTGTGCTCTCTTGCGTGCTATAAATAAAACAAAAATACCTGCAATAAAAGTAAAGTACCTTTAAAGCCGGTTTCTTTGATTTTCCCGCTATCATAATTTTTATTTAGCCGCAAAACTTATTTCCATTTATTCCAAGCATGATATCAAAAGCGACACGAACAACTTGGCTGGGCAGAAGCTTAGTGAAAAGGCGTACGCCTTGAGAACTTCGGGTTCCGAGTCCGTTTATATATAAAAAAGAATACTTAACT